ATATATATATATATATATATATATATATATATATATGTATGTATACCCTCAACCAGCCTTTCTCAGCTAACGTTCCTCACCAGGAACCACAAAACACAAAAAATGACCACTTCCGCATTCCCCCAAGAATGGTACATAACTAGCATCATTCTGGATGCACGGGAGAGAAGTTAATTCACTACTCACTCTGGATGCTGTAGGACATTAGGGCTTAATTCTCTCAAAGAAACCCCCACTTGAGAAAGGGAGCAGCACTGATTTGAAGGTCTTCCATTTAATTTTTAACTATTTTACTTAAAAAAAAATCTCAAACACACCAAAGTAGAGAGAAGACAACAGTAAATCTCCATGTACCCATCTCTCAGCTGCAACAATTATCCATTCAAAGGTATTCTTATTTCCTCTAAAACCCCTCCCCACAGCCCCTTCCACTAACCAACAGATCATTTTAAAGCAAACCCAGATATAAATTCACCCACAAATATTTCAGTATTATATCCAATCATCAACCATGCTGATTACAAGAAGTTTCCTTCACATAAGTTTTTTTGTTTTGTTTTGTTTTGTTTTACTGTGCAGTCCCATTTATCAAGTAATCAGTGAGAAGTAAAAATTTCTGAGGTGGTCTAAAAATACTAGTCAAACACTAGTAGCACATCATTTTGGAAGGAAGGAAAGATTCCTAAACCCCAGTTATCAGCCTAGGCTATGTTGGACCCTACCTCTAACACAGAGCAGCAGTGCAAGCACCTTACCACTGAACCAGTAATACTCCACCATCATACAAGGAACAGAACTAATTATGTGTGACTGCATTGTTATTAAACAATTAACATTTACAATATGAAATAAAGACCTCATCTGTAATTAGGACATAAAATAATCTTTTTGGAACTGACAGCTAAAGGTATGTAGGAGAGGAAGGCAACATAAAACAACCTAGTAGCACATTAAAGTATTATAAAGTACAAACATTCCAAAACTAAAAACATACAAATTTGACTTTAACTCAATTTTTAGTTACAGAGATCCTTTCTGTAAAATGTATAAGGGGATTACAAATAATACTGTTTAACGTTAATAGTTGTATGTATCCATTACTGAAATTTTGTAGTAGCAGGGATGGGTGATTAATCATTTTTCTTAAATTTATAAGCTAAAATTATCGTGGTTATGTTCCTTAGCACAGGACTTTGGAATCTTGAGTATTCATGTGTCCGTGTGTCAGAGTGGACCCAGAACTGTTTCCTGAGGAAAATCTTGGTCTTGCTCATGGGTAGTCCCTCAACTGGCCAGGATATGAGAAAACAGAAAATGATGCTAAATAACATTAAATACAAACAATTGACTATATAAAACACACCTAAATATCAAATTCATACAACTTAATGTTTTAACATTAAACATTTGGAATTATTAATTTTTTATCCTATTAATGATAAAGTCTGAATATATATAACGTGCTCCTGCATCTACTATGGATCTATTCAGTCATATTAACAAGCTTGTTTGCCAAGGGCCCAGAGACATTTAAGGACAGCAGTTGAAACTGACGCTTTTCTGCTCTGAGTTCCTGAGGCCTGAAAATGCGTTCACTTCTCTTACATGGGACATCTCTTACCTACACAATTACTGGTAACTGTCAGCCTTCAGCAGAGGAGCAGAAAGGCTTTTCAGCATGAATACTTATCTCCTAGAAAACACAAGAGTCATTTCCTTCCCTGATCCCTCAACTGGGAGGCTGAAACCCAATACCTTGATAACCTACCCTTTATTCAGACTAATGGGCCACTTATTCTAAAGATGACGTTCTTTAAAAACAAACAACAACAACTGCTTTTAAGAAAAAGAAACCTTCCCTGGATAATTCATGAAGTTAAACATTACACCACTTTGTTAATGGTATTCAATGGAGAAGTCACATAAAAAGTGGTATTGTTGGAAGGGGAATTTACGATTCGAGAAGCGGTGGTGATAGTTCATTCTTCATCAAGTTATTAAGATTATCATTAAATTAAGATATAACATCAGGTACATACTTTGCCTTTAAGATTTACATCAATCTACCAGGAACTGGTTTTTATGAGTGGTTTGAGGAGGGGACAACTGCATAATTTTGCACATGGCTATCCAGCTATCCAACCATCTTCTGTTACAGGGTTACCAGAGTTTAGCCTTCCACCACTCACCTGCTGTGCTACCTCTTTCACTCATAAGGTACAGCATAAGCTTGGGTCTTTTGAAAGCTCTGTTCTTTTCCACTGACAGGAATTAGAAAGAAGCAGTGCCTGTGTCCTCGTCTGCACCCTCTATCCATTCCCCTCGTTTCTGTTGAGCCCCTCAGTTTACAACTTTGGAGCCCTATCAGAGGGGAGACTATCTACACTTTCTATACCTAAACAAGGGGACATGAACCCAGTTCGCCTCAAAGCAGTGGAAGCCACAACGACACAAGTAAAAGAGAAGGCAATCAAGACACACAACAATCTCGCAGAGCTCTCCATTGTCTCAGCTTTCTGATAAATGCCTCCAGGTCCTGTTCCTCATGAGGGTATAAAGACCCTCATTAAAGCACCAAGATTTGAGAATCTATAATGGGCTCGGATTGCTTAACTGGCCATAACTAGATCCTTCCCCAAAGCTAAAAGCCTAGAGATTTAAAGAGTGAGCCATAACAGTCATGTGCTGTTTGGCACAGAACTCTCAACATACAGAAGTATAATAAACCTTCTCAAGAGAAATAAGTCAAATGTTCTTCAAGGAAAAAAAGTCCTTCTAAGGTCAGTCCCAGGGACTCCTGCTCTCAGGCACTGCAGAAAGGCTTGTTCTAATCACACTGCTAGCACTCCTTCCACCAATTTCTATAAAAGCAGTAGTACTGTCAACAATATTGCATTTGTTTTTCTGTTATGTGTCCCTTTTTAGCAAAAGCATTATATACAGTACAGACTCCAACAGCTAAACTGACAAGACAAAACATATTTTAAAGATGTCTCTGCTCACCACCCTGTCCCTAGACCCAGGAACAGGAAGTAACTGCAACTGGAAGAAATCTAAAGTGAGCTTTTACACTAGAGGAAGGGATAACTAAAACCTTCAAAGAAGTTGTAGGGAAGTAGCCATTCAAGTAATTTTGGTCCCAACTGAATGGTGTTAATATTGTCAGGATCTACAAAAATATGCTATGTATTAATCACAGTGTGAATAAGAGAAAGTCCCTGTGGATTTAAAGAAATGTTATCCAAAAAGGACATTTTAAAGTCATAACCTACTTTTCTACAGATATATGATTAGAAGAAATGCTTCAGATAATTCAAAGGTAACACCTGAGGGTCCCCATGACTAAATCTGGCATAGCCTGAGCATAGACTAGAATTGTGACAGCAATGATTGGTAACACATTCTATTAAAAAACTGAATCAGTGAGTCCAAAATGATACTAAATAAAGAGTAAGGCGGAGGGGGAACCCTCCTTTAAAGATGAATACCAACCAATAAATGTAGAAGGAATGACAGAATTACAAAAAACACTATTTTGCACTCACTATTGCAATAGATGATTTGAACAAGAGTAATTAATGGATGCTAAAACCACAGAGTATCAAGGTATTATCCCCACACATTACAAAAGGGATAAAGATACTGTTACGGTGTAGAAATGTGACACCGCCACCTTAACCAGGGGATCAAACAACCAATCATGTTAACTGTCTGCCACCACATGCCTCACCATAGAACGCCCAAAGAGCACAAGATCTCCTGCGCAATATTGCTGCCAAAGATCCTGAATCTAATCCTAAGGAGACAGGCAAATCCAAATAAAGGAACATTCTGTGAAACAAAACAAAAATATCATGTCATGAAAGAAAGACACCAACCACCACGCCTCCCTGCCCTGTCCCCCCCTCAAAAAAATGTTTGGGAATTGTTCTAGAAAAAAGACTAAATAGATTTAATAACTGAATGCACTTGTTCCTTGACTGGGTTCTGAATGGGGAAGAAAAGATACAAAGTTCATTAAAAGGAAAATAAGGAAATATGAATATATATAAATATAACATTCTGTCAGTGTTAAATAACTTGTAAGTGCCAATTTTGTTATGTTGGTACTGAAGACTATCCCTGTTCTTAGGCAATACATGATGAATATTTAGGCTGTCGCTCAAACAGCCAAAAAGTGGCAAAATGTTACTAATAGGTAAATATCTAGTGACAGGTATGTAGTGGCTCACTATGCTATTCTTATAACCTCTGTAGATTTGAAAACTTATCAAAGTAGAAAGCTGAGACGAGGAATCCAGAAAAAAAGTTAACACAATGTTTTACATGAAAATTCTAATACAAATACTGTAAACAGACTTACAAGCCTTAAGAATAGACTTATTTTAAGTAACATTTCTGCTGTAAAGGAATAATAATTTTTCTTTTTTTAAACAGCATCAAAATTTAAACATTAAAAATTTTTAATCAAAATTAAAATTTTTTAAATCGAAATTTAGCATCAAAAGCTTCCAGTGTGTTCTTCTAGCCTATAATTAAATTAGTGTTTTCTCTATAAAAGAAAACAACATATAACAATATTTAGCCTAGTAATTAGCATTATAATTAAGTACACAGACTCAAAGTAAACAGATTAAATTTCTGATAACAATCTCCCCAAACTAAAAAATAACTGCCACGAACTTATCTTTAAAAACTTGTGGGCTTCCCTGGTGGCGCTGTGGTTGAGAGTCCGCCTGCCGACGCAGGGTACCCGGGTTCATGCCCGGGTCCGGGAAGATCCCACATGAAGCGGAGCGGCTGGGTCCGTGAGCCATGGCCGCTGAGCCTGCGCGTCCGGAGCCTGTGCTCCGCAACGGGAGAGGCCACAACAGTGAGAGGCCCGCGTACCGCAAAAAATAAAAACAAAAAAAAAACTTGCAATTGAACAAAATTGGAAAACTATATTCAGAAACACTAATGATAATTTCCTTAATGTGTAGCTCTTAAAAAAAAGTTTTTCCTCTTACTATAAAAAAAAGAGTTGTGGTGAATTAATATACTAAGGTAAAACTACTTTAAAGGTTGTATATAAATCACTCTGGGAACAAAACACAATACTTAAAAAAAACTCTGCAAGGTTTTATGCAAAGGATTAAAAAAATCTAAAAATTCAACATTTTGTAAGTATTAATTGTTAAAATATAATTTAAAATAGTCTGTAAAAATATACCTCTTAAAACTAGCATGGGACCACTTAAGATAACAGTTCAGGTAGCAAATACACAGACTATGAACTGAGAATCAATTCCCATCATAGAGAGAAAGATTAAATATTTTAAAAGCTCAAGTCACATAATAATATTAAAATTAAGAGATTACATAATGAAAAAAAAACTACAATTAAAAAATGAAACAAATATTTGTAATCAATGGCAAAGGTAGAATGTATTATTCTAAGAGTTCATAAAATAAGCATTAAAAAGCTCAATAGGTAAATATCAATACAGAAAGTACAAACAAAATTTAAAAAGCCAAATAAATGCAGAAATATATTCAAGAAATAATCAATGAATATAAATCAATAATAAGCTATCATTTTACTCTAATAAGTGGCAAAATTATAACTCCCAATAATGAATGTTAAGGTTATGGTGACACCAGTACACTCACACAATGCTGGTACAGGCTTAAATCTGTATAATTTTTAGAACATAAGTGATATCCAATTCTTTTTAATGAATATTTGAACTCCTTTCACATGCTAGACACTGGGGATAAACAAGAAAGCCACAATCCTAACCTCACACAATTTATAGCTGTTGTGAAAAGACAGATTTTTGAAAGATTTAATCAGAAAGCATGGTTAATTGCTTAAATAGAAAACAATCAAGGTTGCTAACTGGGCTCACTACACAAACATCTAACCTAGTCTGAAACTGCTGGGGAAAATTACTAGTCATTTACTGGTTGCCAAGCACCTTGCCAAATAATGGGGCTTAAATAATGAACACCACGTGGTGTCCGTCTGCGAAGTCAACACTCCAGAAGTGGGTAATGATTCGCAACCACAACAGATGCAGCAGGTACAGTAACTATGAGGATACAGAGAAGGGAGAAGCGGTGGGCACGGAAGGGAGGTCACAGTGGCGGGATAAGAAGTGATTCCACGGTAGTTAAGGGACAGAAAGGAAGAGGCCGGCAGGAGCAACAGCATGAAAGGAGACGGGCGGGAAAAGTTACTGCAGACTGATTGACGTGTGGGAAGCCCACCATGAACCAAGACACAAAACCCAGATGAGGGGAGGTGTGAGGGGCTAGCCCAAGTCAGCAAGGTGAAAATCACCACCGTGCAGCTGGAGACACAGCTCGGGAGCTCAGAGAACAGCTCTGGAATGAAGGTATCAGTTAAACCATCCAGGGAGCAGCAGAAGAAAGAGCAGAGTCCTAAGGAGTTAGGACTGGAGAGAGGAGTCCAGAGGCGGCGGGAACAAAACCTGAGACGACAAGAGCCAGAGACGGACAGAGTCCAAAGGAAGAAAGAGGAAGTGGTAACAAGAAAGCACATTAGGGCTCAAAGAACAATTCCGAGGTCAGAGGTGACTTCAGTGAGAGCGGGTTTTTTGTCAGGTGGTGGCCGGGTGCTGCTCCTAGCGGGCTGAGGTGTGAAGGTGTTCTTTTTTTGTTTTTTAAGGAAGTAAAGCCAGTAGGTACTCATAAATGTTTGCTGGTGACGAGAAAGAACAAACAAAGGATGCTTGAAGGAAAGAGGCTAGAAGCAAGCTGCGGTAGGGACTTTGGTTTGTTTCAAGGACAGAAGAGGCAGAAGAGGTGTGAGCGCTGTGACGCCACCGGGGAGCAGTCAGGGGCAGACAACTCATGCAGATACAAGTTACTAGAAGCACACGCACAGGAACGGCGAAAACACTTGCGGTGGGTATTGAGGCGATTTGGGCTTTTTTATGTTATTTTATGATCACTGTATAATAAATTAATTGGGAGGAAATAACCCCCCAGAGAAGTCTAATCAAAATACATAAAGAATTCAAATTGGAAACGCTGGGACAAGTCTGGGGAGAAGAAAATGGTGCCAGTTATAAGGGCCCACTGGTGCCAGGCAAAATGGGAGAGCTAATGGTAGCCGAGGGGATTTCAGAGAAGCTTCCCCAGGTGGGCAGAGTCAGGCAAAAATGAGGTGCTATTTAAATACTGAAATGGAGGGGGAGAATGACATGGCAATGGGACAGCACTTTAGCTTGTGGGCACATTGGAATAGACTGAATAAATAAGGGATTCCCAAGAGCAAAGTAAGAAACTAAGTGTTGGGCTGCAGCATGCAGGCCTGCAAGCCCCGTACTTGCCCAGCTTCAAGACCGAAGGAGGAGGCCAGTCAGGCCAGCGGAGACATCAATGGCTTAATGGATGGGGGGAGCTTACATGTCGAAAGCAAGGTCCTGGAGCAGCACACTACTGTGTGCAGATGACATGGCAGCAGTGTTTGCTGGGGTGCGGGGGGAAGGGGTAATCACTTATAGGGAGAACTGACCTCAGGTTGACTCACTGGTTACCAGGGAAACTAGCAGAGGAGCATGCTCCTCACCATCCCTTTGATAAGCTATCATGGAGGAGATGTTCTGATTTAAAGGTCAGAACCATCACTAGTTGGGGCAGGGGCAAGTATGTAGGAAGGTCAGTCATGTGAGTAGGGTGTAGGTGAGGCATGGACTGGTCGAGCAGGGGACGTACAGAGAGCAAGAGAACAGCCATCTTGGGTGGCCTGATCATACTAAGTTTAAGAGATTTTACATAATGATATGATACATGTAACAAGATGGTTACAGATTTATACTACGGATGTAATATTACAGGCAGAGAGTATAACTTTTAAAATCTCAAATTTAGGAGAGTAAAAAAGCACAAGGTTTACAATATCATGTATCTATCCACATGTAATTCCTTCCAGGGAATACTTGGGAGCTTTGGGAAAATAGTGAGTTGGAGAGACTCAAAGAAAAGGAATACTAAGCAGAGGCTCCAGGATTCAGATTAGGTCAACTTCCCTGGGCTTCTGCAGCAGAGGAGGTAGGAAGATCATTACTCATGCCGTAACTTACGAAAGGGCCTGGGTTGTATAAATCAGAGTATACAGGGGCTTTCAACCTTACCCAGCTCCCAGAGTGAGCAGATTTATGTCAGGTCGGAGATAGCTAAGTGGTGCTTGTCATTACTCTATTGCTAGAAAACTCTTTAAAGGATGAAAAATATGGAGCTCCCATTCTCCAAAATTATGAACAAGCTGAATGGTAAGATTATCTTGAAAAAGTTAGTTTTTAAAAGTTTACATAATCTGACTCGACTGACCCATATTAGAATTTCAATCATCCAATCTTTTCCATAGCAATGAGATACAATTAAAATATGTTCTTCCCACCTGGAATATGTCACCTCTTGTCCTTAAGCCTGGCTAATTTCCTGTTCGTCATGCAGTCACTCCCTTAAAAACGCCTTCCCTGATGCCTCCCTCCTACTTCTCCCATCTTTGTGGCTATAATCTGTCACCCTCTATTAGAGTCTCAGGTTGACTAGTGTGAAGCTCCCATCAGAATGTAAGCTCCAGAAGGATGGGGCCATGTTAACCAGACTCAGTCTGATTCTTAGCACCTAGCACTGTGCCTGGCAAATGGAATGAGTAGAATTAAAATTCAAATGAATCATAAAGAAATTTTATTATTGGGAAGGGCACTTTAGGCTACAGCCTCACTCTCCCCTGCTACTATCTCAGAGAGTCTGATATCCCATTCCTACCAATACTTGTTTCCTTCGTTGAAGGTTAGAGCAGGAAGGGACCTGAGAGTCAGTCAATCCAATGCCTTCATTGTCCAGAGACGTGAACAAAGCTGCACTAGTCAAAAACTTTAAAAAAGGGCCAATAAACAATGTCATATCATTTGCTCCTTCATTAAACACTTATCTTTATCCTCCCATTCCCCAATATTCAACTCCTCTGCTCATAACCAATATAATCCTTCCCCAGTTGTCTCCATTTGCCTACAAAATGTTTTTTCAGTATACCAGCTTTAAGTCAGATAAATGCTATATGTCGGTAAATGTCAGTGGAAATCTACCTTTATTATCTGGTTACCACTTCATTACCTGTTACCTAAAATTTGATCATAAATTGTCCTAAGAACAATGGTTTATCTTAGTAACATCTTTAAAATTTTTTAGATCATTTTATACACAGTATGTATTAAAAAATTAGTCATAACTACTTCAAAGTGGGAAAAAAGAATAGAAAACCCAATCAGAAAACTAATTATTTACTTGTATAATAATATTACAGGAAAAGAAACATTTTTATGACCATATGACCACATTTTTATTACACTCCAAAATTTATTAGCTACTATCTGATCTTACCTACACTGATCTACCAATTAAATATTAAGTGCCTACCTAAAAGCCGCTTCCCAAAAGCAGTTCATTCCACAAACATCAGAGGGCAGCATCCAATAGGGATTCCAGTAACACAGAGAGAAATCTTTACACCTAACAGAGTAAGACAGAAATAGTCCTATGTGAGTATTTTGGCTTAAAACTAACAAGGAATTTACTCAATAACATAAAAACTTACTGTTCTATTTTTTACAGCAACAAAACTGCAAATTCAACTTGCTATGGTAACTTGAGGATTTCTGGAAATTGATTTCTCCCTTACTTAGGGTAGCACTACTTTAAATAGAACTTTAAAACCTTTAGGCAAAAAAATACCAGACTGGAAATGTTTTTTAGTCATGAACGCTCTTAATATATTAAGATCTCCTCCTAAGATGACACAGAAAATATTGGAATACTTCTAAAATTTTCCTTCCTTCATGAACTGCACATATCCCCCTTAGAATAAAATCCATTCTGCCAAACAAAACATTTGCTTATCCTGAAGCAAAATTTAAGCCACAAATGCTGGTAGAAAGGAAAGAGAGAATCTTTAAATGCTTTTAAATTAATCCTCAATCCAAGCTTAAAACACCAAGTATCGTGTTTTAAGTTGGAAATAAGAGACCAAGTTGATATTCATGGCTCAGTTTCATTACCTACACATCTCAGTTTCACTATATTTCACAAGCTAAAATGGGGGATCAAATGTGGACTTTCTTCTTAGATTGCAGGTTGGAGCTAAAAAACCCCACAAATACACAACAACAACTGCTCACATTACAAAAAGTTATGTTTTTCATTGTTATTCCTTTTCAAAACAATAGTCTAGTTGGAAATTCAGTACAGTGGAGGCTTGGGTTTACAAAAGCAAGTATGAAGTCAGAGTGAGTCACTAAACCAGGTCACCTCATGTGCCATCACCATTAATTCAATTATAAGTTACTGTTCTTACAGTGAAAGGTCTATGAAATTTCATATTTGCAACATCTCTGATCACACCTCTCACAAATGTCAACAGGCTAAGACAGGGGGTCTCAATCCAGGATGTACAATGAAATCACCAGAGAGCCCTACACCAGACCTGTTAAATCAGAAACCCTGAGGACAGGGTCAGGCACTGGTTGCTTTTAAAGTCCTGCCTAAGTTATTCTGTATACTACTGCATGAAGAACTACGTCAGAATTTTTAAATGAATGGAAAAAAGTGACACTATAATTTGTTTTTTCTTGAAATGGACACCGTTTTCAAGCACAGCGTAAAAAGTTAACATATCTTAGTTGATAAGTCAGAAAATGTGTGCAGACCAGTAAAATGTACAACCTGATCAGGAAATTTGTTGGTCCCCTTCCAGGTGTGGTCATGTAGTTTTTAAGTCTTGCACTTATTTGTAGAGACAGGCTGAGTGGAAGTGGCAACAACACAGAGTTTTTTTCAGATTCAAGAGTTCTCACATCCATTTAAGCCTCACAACAAACCTGTTCAAATAGGTATCTCCATCTTTCAGATACAGACATCATCAAAGCTTTCTTTCAACAAATCCACAATTTATTTATAATCAACACCTAAAGTGCCCCTTTGTTCCAGGAAGGAAATAAGTTGGTTATTCCATCTCCTTCTGTCAAATCTTCCAACAGTAGAAAATGAAAATAAAAATGAAGTCTCAAAGAAAATGACTAAATTTTTTTGTAAAAATGACTGCTTGAAATTGTGTATTAATACCATTTTCTGCCTCAACTTGTATTGCTCCCAGCCCTAGGCAATCATGCATCTATTTTCTGCCTCCATAGATAAATGGAATCATATAATATGTGACCTTTTGAGTCAGACTTTTTTCACTTAGTGTATTTTCAAGGTTCACCCACTGTAGCATTTATCAGCACATTTCATTCCTTTTTATGACCAAATAACATTCCCTTTTATGAATGGATGGATATACCACATTTTCTTTATCCATTCATGAGTTAATGAACATTTGGGTTGTTGATACTTTTTGGTTATTATAAATAATGCTTTTATGAACATCCATGTAAAATTTTAACGTGAACGTATGTTTTCTATTCTCTTGAGTATATATATATATATATACACATACACACAGACACACACATATACATATACACACACACGTGCGCACACACACCCGTACGAGAGGAATGGCTGGATCATGTAATCAATGTAAACTGATTAATGCAGATGAAATTACAGGGAAAAAAATGTCAAGTTTTAGGTAACTTTCTTGACCATAACTCAATGTCAGAAAACACAGTTTACAGAAAGAATGTTCTCTTTCTGTCTTTCTTTAATGGAAATATAAAACATATGCACTAGTGAGTATACATCCTCCTTACCATTAAAAAAAAAAAAAACATAAAACACTGAGCTGCTGCTAGCAAAAGGGGGCATAATTTATTCACAGTTTCTTATTTCCCAAATTTACATTCTTTCACTTCTGAAAACTTGGTTTTAAAGATTAAGATAAAGAGTAGAAACTCATACTGAGAACTCATTATGTACCAATAACTATCACTACAAGCAATAAATGAGGAAAAGCAACTAATCTGAGACAGACAGTACTTGTATTTTCAGGCCAGAAAAAAAAAGTTTAAAAATATTGGAAAAGTAAAGGTACTTATCCAAGTTCCGATTATTAGCTGCTTTTGCTTTTATTCCTTAAAACTACTGAAAATGGAACATTAGACATACAAAATTCAAAGAGGTAACTCTATTAAATAATTTTAATGGGGCAAAACTGTAGCTGACCTAAATGGGTATGTCTTCAGTAAACAATGACATCCAGAATCAGTGAAGTCCATAAATGCAAAGTTTTTCCATTGTGGATCAAACTGACATCCCCCTGTTTCATATGGCTTAATATTTCTAGCTCTAGGTGGCTTGTCTACAAGCAAACTGATCAAGGGATAGCACAGGGATCTCTGTGGTAATACAACAGTCTGTATCCTGACTGTGGGGGTGATGACACGAATTTCACTTACGTGATACAACAGCATAAAACTGCACATACACACGAGTGCAGGTAAACTGGTGATGTCTGAAGATGGTCTATGGGTTGTACAATGTCAATTTCTGGGGTTCTAATATTCCACTATGTTGATACACATATATTCCAGATACGGTAGCATTACACTAAGCTCGTGTAAAATGTTACTACTGGGGAAAAACTGAGTGAAGGATAAATGGGGTATCTATGAAGCTTCCTGTGAACTTATATTTATTTCAAAAGTTTAAAACAATAAATGATTCACAAATTAAATTCCTCCAAATTTCAGTACTTGAAAAATGTTTTAAAAATTGAGACATCAGAATCAAGAAGAACTACAATCCTGCAGCCTGTGGAACAAAAACCACATTCACAGAGAGACAGACAAGATGAAAAGGCAGAGGGCTAGGTACCAGATGAAGGAACAAGATAAAACCCCAGAAAAACAACTAAATGAAGTGGAGATAGGCAATCTCCCAGAAAAAGAATTCAGAATAATGATAGTGAAGATGATCCAGGACCTCAGAAAAAGAATGGAGGCAAAGATTGAGAAGGTGCAAGAAATGTTTAACAAAGACCTAGAAGAATTAAAGAACAAACAAACAGAGATGAACAATACAGTAACCGAAATGAAAACTACGCTAGAAGGAATCAACAGCAGAATAACTGAGGCAGAAGAATGGATAAGTGACCTGGAAGACAGAATGGTAGAATTCACTGCTGCGGAACAGACTAAAGAAAAAAGAATGACAAGAACTAAAGACAGCCTAAGAGACCTCTGGGACAACAACACAACAACATTCGCATTACAGGGGTCCCAAAAGGAGAAGAGAGAGAGAGAAAGGACCCAAGAAAATATTTGAAGAGACTATAGTCGAAAACTTCCCTAACATGGGAAAGGAAATAGCCACCCAAGTCCAGGAAGCACAGTGAGTCCCATACAGGATAAATCCAAGGAGTAACATGCCAAGACACACAGTAATCAAACTGGCAAAAATTACAGACAAAGAAAAATTACTGAAAGCAGCAAGGGAAAAATGACAAATAACATAAAAGGGAACTCCGATAAGGTTAACAGCCAATTTCTCAGCAGAAACCCTACAAGCCAGAAGGGAGTGGCATGATATATTTAAAGTGATGAAAGGGAAGAACCTACAACCACGATTACTCTACCTGGCAAGGATCTCATTCAGATTCGATGGAGAAATCAAAAGCTTTACAGGCAAGCAAAAGCTAACAGAATTCAGCACCACCAAACCAGCTCTACAACAAATGCTAAAGAACTTCTCTAAGTGGGAAACTCAAGAGAAGAAAAGGACCTACAAAAACAAACCCAAAACAATTAAGAAAATGGTCATAGGAACATACATATCGATAATTACATTAAATGTGAATGGATTAAATGCTCCAACCAAAAGACACAGGCTTGCTGAATGGATACAAAAACAAGACCCATATATTTGCTGTCTACAAGAGACCCATTTCAGACCTAGGGACACATACAGACTGAAAGTGAGGGGATGGAAAAAGATATTCCATGCAAAGGGAAATCAAAAGAAAGCTGGAGTAGCAATTCTCATATCAGATAAAATAGACTTTACAATAAAGAATGTTACAAGAGACAAGGAAGGACACTACATAATGATCAAGGGATCAATCCAAGAAGAAGATATAACAATTATACATACATATGCACCAAACATAGGAGCACCTCAATACATAAGGCAACTGCTAACAGCTATAAAAGAGGAAATCAACAGTAACACAATTAATAGTGGGGGACTTTAACACCTCACTTATACCAATGGACAGATCATTCAAAATGCAAGTAAATAAGGAAAGAGAAGCTTTAAATGACACAATAGACCAGATATATTTAATTGATATTTACAGGACATTCCATCCGAAAACAGTAGATTACACGTTCTTCTCAAGTGTGCAAAGACCATTCTCCAGGACAGATCACATCTTGGGTCACAAATCAAGCCTCAGTAAATTTAAGGAAATTGGAATCATATCAAGCATCTTTTCTGACCACAATGCTATGAGATTAGAAATGAATTACAGGGAAAAAAACGTAAAAAACACAAACACATGGAGGCTAAACAATACGTTACTAAATAACCAAGAGATCACTGAAGAAATCAAAGAGGAAATCAAAAAATACTAGAGACAAATGACAATGAAAACACGAGGATCCAAAACCTATGGGATGCAGCAAAAGCAGTTCTAGGAGGGAAGTTTATAGCTATACAAGCTTACCTCAAGAAACAAGAAAAATCTCACATAAACAATCTAAACTTACACCTAAAGGAACTAGAGAAAGAAGCACAAACAAAACCCAAAGTTAGTAGAAGGAAAGAAATCATAAAGATCAGAGCAGAAATAAATGAAATAGAAAGAAAACAACAGCAAAGATCAATAAAACTAAAAGCTCGTTCTTTGAGAAAATAAACAAAATTGATAAACCATTAGCCAGACTCATTAAGAAGGAGAGGACTCCAATCAATAAAATTAGAAATGAAAAAGGAGAAGTTACAACAGACACCGCAGAAATACAAAGCATCCTACGAGACTACTACAAGCAAATCTATGCCAATAAAATGGACAACCTGGAAGAAATGGACAAATTCTTAGAAAGGTATAACCTTCCAAGACTGAACCAGGAAGAAATAGAAAATATGAATAGACCAATCACAAGTAATGAAATTGAAACTGTGATTAAAAATCTTCTAACAAACAAAAGTCCAGGACCAGATGGCTTCACAGGTGAATTCTATCAAATGTTTAGAGAAGAGCTAACACCCATCCTTCTCAAACTCCTCCAAAAAACTGCAGAGGAAGGAACACTCCCAAACTCATTCTATGAGGCCACCATCACCCTGATACCAAAACCAGACAAAGATACTACAAAAAAAGAAAATTACAGACCAATATTACTGATGAATATAGATGCAAAAATCCTCAACAAAATACTAGCAAACAGAATCCAACAACACATTAAAAGGATCATACACCATGATCAAGTGGGATTTATCCCAGGGATGCAAGGATTCTTCAATACACGCAAATCAATCAATGTGATACACCATATTAGCAAACTGAAGAATAAAAACCATATGATCATCTCAATAGATGCAGAAAAAGCTTTTGACAAAATTCAACACCCATTTATGATAAAAACTCTCCAGGAATCTACCTCAACATAATAAAGGCCATATACGACAAACCCACAGCAAACATCATTCTCAATGGTGAAAAACTGAAAGCATTTCCTCTAAGATCAGGAACAAGACAAGGATGTCCACTCTCACCACTATTATTCAACATAGTTTTGGAAGTCCTAGCCACGGCAATCAGAGAAGAAAAAGAAATAAAAGGAATACAAATTGGAAAAGAAGAAGTAAAACTGTCACTCTTGGCAGATGACATGATATTATACATAGAGAATCCTAAAAGTGTCAACAGAAAACCACTAGAGCTAATCAATGAATTTGGTAAAGTTGCAGAATACAAAATTAATGCACAGAAATCTCTTGCATTCCTATACACTAATGATGAAAAATCTGGAAGAGAAATTAAGGAAACACTCCCATTTACCACTGCAACAAAAAGAATAAAATACCTAGGAATAAACCTACCTAGGGAGACAAAAAACCTGTATGCAAAAAACTATAAAACACTGATGAAAGAAATTAAAGATGATACAAACAGATGGAGAGATATATCATGTTCTTGGATTGGAAGAATCAATATTGTGAAAATGACCAAACTACCCAAAGCAATCTACAGATTCAGTGCAATCCCTATCAAATTACTAATGGCATTTTTTACAGAACTAGAACAAAAAATCTTAAAATTTTTATGGAGACACACAAGACTCCAAATAGCCAAGGCAGTCTTGAGGGGAAAAAACGGAGCTGGAGGGATCAGACTCCCTGACTTCAGACTATACTACAAAGCTACAGTAATCAAGACAATATGGTACTGGCACAAAAACAGAAACATAGATCAACGGAACAAGACAGAAAGCCCAGAGATAAGCCCACGCACCTATGGTCAACTAATCTATGACAAAGGAGGCAAGGATATACAATGGAGAAAAGACAGTCTCTTCAATAAGTGGTGCTGGGAAAACTGGACAGCTACATATAAAAGAATGAAATTAGAACACTCCCTAACACCAAACACAAAAATAAACTCAAAATGGATTAGAGACCTAAATATAAGACCGGACACTATAAAACTCTCAGAGGAAAACATAGGAAGAACACTCTTTGACATAAATCACAGCAAGATCTTTTTTGATCCACCTCCTAGAGTAATGGAAATAAAAACAAAAATAAACAAATGGAAACTAATGAAACTTCAAAGCTTTTGCACAGCAAAGGAAATCATAAACAAGATGAAAAGACAACCCTCAGAATGGGAGAAAATATTTGCCAACGAATCAACGGACAAAGGATTCATCTCCAAAATACATAAACAGCTCATGCAGCTCAATATTAAAGAAACAAACAACCCAATCCAGAAATGGGCAGAAAACCTAAATAGACATTTCTCCAAAGAAGACATACAGATGGCCAAGAAGCACATGAAAAGCTGCTCAACATCACTAATCATTAGAGAAATGCAAATCAAAACTACAATGAGGTATCACCTCACACTGGTCAGAATGGCCATCACCAAAAAAATCTACAAACAATAAATGCTGGTGTGGGGAAAAGGGAACTCTCTTGCTCTGTTGGTGGGAATGTAAATTGATACAGCCACTACAGGGAACAGTATGGAGGTTCCTTAAAAAACTAAAAATAGAATTACCATATGATCCAGCAATCCCACTGCTGGGCATGTATCCAGAGAAAACCATAATTCAAAAAGACACATGCACCCCAATGTTCACTGCAGCAGTATTTACAATAGCCAGGTCATGGAAGCAACCTAAATGCCCATCAACAGATGAATGGATAAAGAAGATGTGGTACATATATACAATGGAATATTACTCAGCCATAAAAAGGAACAAAATTGGGTCATTTCTTGAGACATGGATTGATCTAGAGACTGTCATATAGAGTGAAGTAAGTCAGAAAGAGAAAAACAAATATCATATATTAATGCATGTATGTGGAACCTAGAAAAATGGTACAGATGAACCGGTTTGCTGGGCAGAAGTTGAGACACAGTTGTAGAGAACAAACGTATGGACACCAGGGGGGAAAGCTGCGAAGGGGTGGGGATGGTGGTGTGATGAATTGGGCAAGTGGGATTCACATGTATACACAGATGTGTATAAAATTGATGACTAATAAGAACCTACTGTATAAAAAAGTAAATAAAATAAAATTTAAAAATTAAAAAAAAAGGGCTTCCCTGGTGGCACAGTGGTTGATAGTCTGCCTGCCAATGCAGGGGACACGGATTCGTGCCCTGGTCCAGGAGGATGCCACATGCCGCGGAGCGGCTGGGCCCGTGAGCCATGGCCGCTGAGCCTGCGCGTCCGGAGCCTGTGCTCCGCAATGGGAGAAGCCACAGTGGTGAGAGGCCTGCATACCACAAAAAAAAAAAAAATTGAGACGTCATGCTCTGGATTAAACAAAGCATTTAACAGTAACAGTCTCCACAATAACAGTCCTCAAAGTTAAAGTTTACTTAAATGCAACAGCAGAAGGTCTTTCATACTTTTAAATCAAACTGAAAAAGATTTTTTTCATTTCTAAATGTCCATGATAGCCATGAGGCTTTAGTGAAAACCATCTGCATTGTGGAGAGTCAGTGATAAGTCTAGGCATATCCAGCATAAGAATGTGGAAGTCTGAATGAGGTGCCTCACCAAAGATGCACCTTAAAGGCACGGATACCTGCACTGTGACTGCAAGAGAAATAAAGATGCTTACAGTCATGTTAAAGGAGAACATTCCCATGGTTCTAACCACCATTATTTAAAGATCAGTTCCTGCACAACTCATTTTCAACTAAAAATTGTCTTCAGACATCTAAGTCAGGTCTTCTTTTTCATAAATATCTAGTGTCATGAATATTCAAGAAGTGTGAAAAGAACTGCTTATACGCAAATGGCAATGAACAATTATCTAACCACTTCAAAAATAAGTTAGCATCACACTGTACAACCTAAACTCTCTCTCGAAAAAAAAAACTGAATTAAAGATTTAAATGAAAAAAAAAGGGAAAAAAAACCCACTGGTAGAAAGTTTTTCTATGCATGACAAAAATAAAAATGATAAGGAAAAAACTGCCAATCTGAACACATAAAAATTTTAAACTTCACGTGGCATACACTCTGAAAAAAATTTAAGTTAACATGTTGGGAGGAAGTATTTCCAACAGGTATGACACACAGATAATAATCTTAATGTTTTAAAATAGGATTTCTATGTCAAAAGTACACAGTATTTTCTCATTAACCTAATCACTTTCCTGTTCAAAAGCACAGAACAACATTAATTAATTTACTAGTCAGGTTTGTGCTAAGCACTTTACAGCTATGTGAAGTATGATCTTCAGTGAACTGAAATACAAGGTGCAAAATACTGGTTTTTATCTAAGATGTCTCTGTATCAACAAAGCAGAGATTAAGGTGGGTTTAGTAAATAATTCAGCCTTCTTCACTGTTCACTGCCTAACTCCTCTCTTCTTCAAAAATAACTGCAGGGAAGAGGCAAAAAATTTCTCCCCCAAAAAACAATAGCGCAAAAATAGTGGTCAAATCAGTCTCAGTTAAATCAATGGTTCTCAATCTTTGGCTTTGTAACAACAACCTGGAGCACACATCTAAAATATAGATTCCCAAGCCCCACTCCCAGGGACTCTGGTTTAGCAGGTCTGGACTGGGGCCTGAGGACATTTTTCCCAGAGGTCAGAAACTGAAAAAAAAAAAAAATCATTTAAAATTTAAATGATCAAAACCATCACTGAATTAGCTATATTTTTATTGTGCCAGGCACCATACCAAGTAATCTACACAAGCTATTTTTTTCAATTCCCACAAACAACCCAATTATCACAGATACTCTTACCTCTTTGTAACTGATGAGGAAACGTGTTCAAGGTTAACACAGCCAGTGAGTGGCAAAGCTGAAGTCTGTTTCCAAAGCCCTGACTCTTCCCACTCTACATTTTCAGTATATCCTACTAGTTAGTGTTCCTGGGACCCAGCAGAAACCATAACTTGATGGCCTGACCAGATCTGAAAAGGAAAGTAAGGTGACTACCTCCCAGTTAACAGTCATTCACAGTAAGGGTATGACGAGTCCAGAAATGGTATCACTGAAATGCCTGGTAGTTTCTTGGTTCCCTACTACCGATATGCTGTACAGCCTCAATGGGATGAAATCTTGATAATCGCTGTCATCAGTGAAATGTGAGAATTTAATCACCCAGAGTATCTAAAAAGCCAGAGCATGGTTTAACTCCTTCTGAAGTACTGACATCTGGTCAGTGCTTTAAGATAAGTGCTTTAGATTGAATACCTTAAATACAGTCTGTCCACACTGCGCACCTTCAGAGAGTCCCTCTGTGTGGAAGAGCCACTACCTCCCAAGCATTCCTCTCCACTGGCGCAGCACTCCTCTCCAGCGCCAGTCATGGGATTCTGTCTGCAGTATGGATGTGCAAGGAACACAGCCCAGAGAACCAGAGGCCCCCATCCCAGGCAACATTGGCTGATGCAAGGATGGGTGTGTGATGCAAGTCCAATGAGAGCCTTTTTCTAGAATTTTCTACCTGAGATTAGAGATGAAACACTACAAGAAGTTGAAAGACCCCAGGAACAAAGCCTGTCTACAGCAGAAGAGGAAGAGTCCCCAGTCCTTGATGTCCCTGGAACTGCCCGGGGAATTCTTCCTTCAATCCTGTTCCTTCCAGCAACCCATAGAAGCCTATAAATATCTGTTTTGCTGAAGTCAGTTTTAATGGACTTTGGTGACTGACAACTAAGAATTCTGATTACTATAAATTAATTAAGGTAAATACAAACTACATTTTACAGGTAAGAAAAGTGAAGCAGAGAGGTGGTCAAGGTTTCACAGGAAACAGGGCCGGAATGAGACCACAGGTTTGTCTGACACTAAGATCTACCCATTTTCTAAATACCAAAATAATGGATTCAAACAAAATGAACTCACTAATAATAAATTTCACTGAAAAATTGTTTCCATCATTTTCTAGTTTTTACTTTGAGAACGTGCAAGGACATTTCCAAGTATTTTGTTGTCGTGGAATTCTGTGCAATGAATATTTTCTATAAGGTTTGACCACTGGAACCTATTGGGTATAACCATAATCCCATGTTTCAAATGAGAGAGAGAAATAATAGTTTTAATCTTTGAGGTAAGACAGCTTTAAAAAAAGTAAGAATGCAATGATAATCAAGTCCTACCAAAAAAAGGAAGATGTTGCTTGCCTCATAGCCCCATTTTCCACTGATGTAATGCTATCTAGACTAGGTTCTTATCACAGCAGCTTTATAGATAGAGCACTTGCAGAGCAATCAAAGGATACAGTTTCTAATGCTGGTACTGATGCCCTCTGCACCTCCACCAAACTATACATAGGAAAAGAGGTTAAGAATACCTACTCCATATCCCATGGTAGCCAAAAAAGTTGACTGAACTCTATGAGAAATCTAAAAAGATGTTATAAATGATAATATTTAAAATGAAGAGTCCTGATGTCTTAGGAATCTTCTGACCTTAATCAAATCATAGGCTACAAACAATCCAGCTTTTCCAGGGTGCTCCTCTGCCCACACTTCTTTACAAAGAATGATACACCTTCAGGTGTTTTTTTTTTTTGCTTTTTTGGGGTTTTTTTTTTTTTTGGTACGCGGGCCTCTCACTGTTGCGGCCTATCCCGTTGCGGAGCACAGGCTCCGGACGCGCAGGCTCAGCGGCCATGGCTCACGGGCCCAGCCGCTCCGCGGCATGTGGGATCCTCCCGAACCGGGGCACGAACCCGCGTCCCCTGCATCGGCAGGCGGACTCTCAACCACTGCGCCACCAGGGAAGCCCATACACCTTCAGTTTTAACTCAAATGTGTGCCTCATTTAAAATGAGGAATTATGTTGCCCAGAGGACCTGTAATATACAGCTTTTTAGTTGACTCGACTCTGACACATCAAACTTCAGATTTCAGTAATGGCTCTATAAAACATTCATTAAAACTGAAGCACTGACTTTCTGAATTTCAAATAATGTAATTTTCTTAAAATTAGCTAGCCAAGCAGATACAATTTATAAAAATTTGTCACAAAATATTAAGTATCTCAGACAAGGCACTAAAGATGAATGTTACTCTATCAGATTGAAATGCTAATATCATAGTCCACTTTCATTCAATGTTTTGATAAAAATGTTGCTTCCTGACAATTCTACCCAATGCAAAAATAGCTTCTTCCCCATAACTTTAAATAAATGCTTCACTGGAACATAACAGACCACCATTAGCTTTTCATGAGCTCATCCAGGTCTTCAGTCACGGCCTCTCCCAGAACAGATAATAGCGTTGACAAACCTGGCTCTGGAAAGCAGCTCTGCTTTTATTAACAGAGTCCTGACTGTAATCAAATCACAGGGTGAAAACAGGACAATCCAGCTTTTCCATGCTGCTCCTCTGCCCAAACGTCCCCTTTCATTTTGGGAATGGCCATCAACTCTCAGAAGAACATTAACAGCCTACAGCTGATCTGCGCTCCCTCCTCCTATCAGCCCGTAGGAAGTTTTTCATATCAAAGCAGCCTTTGCCTCTTACTAAGGGAGCACACGGAGTAAGAGAGGTGCCCACAAACAGAGGAGCCTCGTTTTCAAGGAAGTGGAAACGCTCAGATTTTGTTAAGCATTCGTAATGCGTTGCTTTTTCCATTTAAATCTCATGTTGATTCCAACTCTGACAGTGATCTGTGTAAATCCACTTATGTCATTATGCTTTTTAAATTCCGATTTTAAAAGAGAAACACCTCTATCCCAACACACAAAAAGACGTGGGCATGTTAAGTATCGCTTATTTTTCTTAACTTGCTGTAAGTTTCACGACAGCCCGATCGTTTCCTGAAGAAAAATTCACAGTCCGCAGAAATGCTCTATCCAAATTTAACTAACCGGCAAATAATGAAAATTTTAAGCATTAACAGGAAATTTAAATGTCCCATTCAGGAGGGGGGAAAAAACTGAACTAGGGCGCCAGCCCGACGTTTAAATATCTCAACTTGAACGCCATGGAAACAAGAGGGAATTCCCACTAGCCAGACAACAAGAAGGCTTTGGTAGGACCCTCTTATTTTCAACGAATTCTAAGAAAAAAGGAAAAAGAAAATGCAACTGTCAACTAAGAGTTGAAAATTAATTTCTAACTGCTGTGAATAGTGCCTAAAGAATGGGTCTGAAGACAAACACAAAAAGCGTGGGGTGCTCTCGGACTGGAGCAGCGCTGGGCTCACCCCCAGGGTGAGGAGGAGGGAAACGAGCAAAGGGGATCAGAGTCTGCGGCAAAGAAGCGGGAGACGCGGGCCTGGTGGCGGGAGGCGCGGGGCTGACCCGCAGGCAGCCCGGGTCGGGCGTAGCCCAGCTACCCCGCGCCCCCCGCCCCGGACCCCGACAGGGAACGGCCCGTACCTGTCAGACGGGCCGGGATGCGCCGCGGCGCCCGCGCTGCCCGCCCCTCTCCCGGCGCCGCGTCCGCCGCCCGCGAGCCAGGAAGCCGCTGCGGCCTGCGGCTTCCCGCCACCGCCGCCCGCTCCTTCCTCCAAGGACACGGCGAGCTGGCTGAAGGCGTAGAGGAGCGAGCAGAAGCCACAGGCCAGGCACAGCACCACGACGCGCAGGTAGCGCCGCATCACGCCGTCCCGGTGCCGCTGCTGCCGTCGCCGCCGCGCCCGCCCGGGCGAACTGGCGCGGAGGGAGCGACACCACGCAGCCGCCGGCGCAACAAGTTCCTCCTTCGCCACGGCCCCGCGCCCGCCCCCCTTCCTCCCTGCCTCCCTTCGCTCTCCGCCCACCACCTTCGAGAGCGCGCGGACACCCCGCCCCGGAGCCCCGGCCCCGCCTCCGCCGCGGGCCTCTCCCCAGAAGGTGGGCGGCCGGACGCGCCGGCGCACTGAGCGCGAGGGGGGCAGGGCGCGCCGGGTGGGCTGGGGCCAGCGGGACGCGGGACGCGGGACGCGGCTGGCGCAGGGTCTTGGGCCACCGGCGACCCCGGGAGGGCCACTCTCGAGCCCTGTGGCTCCCAACTGCGGGCGAAATGATTGGGGCATTTGAGGCAACCGACCCAAATTCAAATGATGGTTCTTCCACGTGGTAATTTGGGACGCTGAAAGCCCTAAATTCTCTGAGCGTGTTTCTTCGTCACTAAAATGGAGATGACATCCACATCATAGGGTGCTTGTAAAGATTAAATTGCTTAACGCACGAAAAAACCCTTGCACTTAGACGGCACTTGATTAAGCCATTTCTCACTTACATCCTTCTCAGCAGGGACTTCCCCAGCCTCTAAGATTCTATAATACAGTCGGTACGAGCCATTTTCACCCAGATGTCTAATTACCTCCTAATGCCCTTTAGGATGCATATCTTGCCTCCCATCGAGGTTGTAAGTTCCTATAAGGCTGAGGTTCAACCTTTTATGCCTTTTTGATCCTCCTCACAGCTCACCATTCGCATGTCCAAAACAATTAATATTCTCCCTAAAGAGCTTTGCCTTTAGCTTTCCATTTCTTTTCCCTCTTTCTCAGCCATATTTTCACTCCATTCATTTATTGAACATTTACAAAGCATGTGCCAAGCACTGTGTGAGTACCTTGGGGTACAAAGACGCCTAGCTGGGGCATGGGGGTGGGACAGTGGATACTTGTTAAGTGCAATACGACCATACAGACATTAGGATATAAGCCTGTAAAGGTGTGGGCACACATACAAAACGGAGCAATCAGTTCTGCCTGCGGGCATGGTTAAGAGACACTTTACAATGTTAAAATGAAACACAGACGCCAGACTTGAAAATTCCCTGAGCGAACAAAACCAGTTAGTCATACAAGCAAAGCTTAATTTAGCTTATTTTGCGGGATAAGAGGTTAACTTGACCTGGGTTACTTTTTGCTTATGCATGTGAAAATCATAAGCAGACCTTAAATAGTTCCCAAAAATTGGTATGAGGTAACCACTAACCAATTCCCTTTCATTTAAGAAAAGTCTAGGAGGGGTGGGCAAAATGGGTGAAGCGGGGGTGACTTACCTGGTGGTCCAGTGGCTAAGACTCTGCACTCCCAGTGCAGGGGGCCCAGGTTGGATCCCTGGTCAGAGAACTAGATCCCGCATGCCGCCACTAAAGATCCCGCACACGACTAGGAAGATCACATGTGCCACAACTAAGACCCGGAGCAGCCAAATAAATTTTTTTTTTTTTTAATGGGTGAAGAGGATCAACTGTACGGTGATGGACGATAATTAGACTTGTGGTGGTGATGACTTTGCAGAGTATATAGGTGTTGAATTATAATGCTGTACACTTGAAACTTATATAATAAAAAATAATTTAAAAAAAGAAAGAAAAGCAGTTGAATACTCAACGTTTGAAGTTTAAACTGCAAAAAAAAATGAAAAGAAAGGAAAAGAGAAAATTATAATATTTTAACCAGTCACTGTAGAGAATACACACTCACAGTCTTCACAGAATATACCCCTGAGCCTCATTCCATATTTTGGTTTGAGTGCTCCCAGTTTGCTGTCTTTTTGGTGTACACACAATAAACTTTTACTAATAACTATGTAAGTGACTCATAGGTTTTACTTCTGTTTTTTGTGAACTTTTGACTGTAGCAAAAGTGGCCCTAGAGTCTAGAGTGTGGTAAGAGAAGTAATTCCAGGCTGAGGAATCAGTGAAACAGGCTCTTGGGTCAGGGAGCTGTGAAAAGTTTGATATCACCAGTTAAGTGAATGCAAAAGAGGAGAAGATGAGCTATAAGACTAGAGGTTGAAGGGGTCAGATATCGGAATGCGTTATTTAGTACAGCAAGGAGTTTGAACATAATCTGGCAAGGAGCTTGAACGTAAAATGTTGAACCATTGAAGGGTTTTTAAATTAGGACATAACATGGTCACATTTGCCTTTTGGAGAGCAGATTCTGGCTGCAGTGTAGAGGCTGGGACAGA